GAACTTTATACATAGATGAGATCCAATGCTCCAGCAGGTATTAATGAATTTTTTATTGCATTAAAAAATATGTGGTTGGAACGTTCTCCAAATTTGTATGGAGGCTCTATTTCTAATCAAATCTCTCAAATGCCATCTATTACACCCCAATCAACAATTACATCAACAGAAATAATGAAACCAGAATCTGAATTACAATCAAATAATAGTGGTATAACAAAAACCGAAATAGAAAATATAGTAAATTCACAATTAGATTTAAGAATCCAAGAAACCCAAACACAGTCTCAACAGCCTACTTCATAACCTGTCTCTTTACAATTTCGACCACAGCCTGTAGGGACATTCCAAAATGTACAAAAAGAAAATATGAATAGATTTTTACAATGTATTAGTGGAGAAATTCCAGAATTTATTCCTGTTCCTCCTCACTCTTTACATTTAAAACCGCAGGTAAAAAAGAATACCACTTCAGATACTGATAGTGTCGAAGAAATTACTAAATGTTTGGCAAATATGTCATTGAAAATGGCTAAAAATATTAATGTTGTTGCTAAAACCGTTTAAAAATCTCAGAGATATTGCTCAAATTGTGGTAGGATAGGACATAATTTTCGTAGCTGTTCTCGAAAGAAAAATAAAAGTAAATCTAAAAAGAAAGGTAAGATAAATAATGCTCATATAGATTCTGATACAGACACCTCCACTAATGATTCAGAATCTGATTCTGAATCAACATCTGAATCCGGTTTTGAGGATACCTCTTCTGAGTCTGGAAGCATAAATGTCAATATTTCTAAAGTAAAAAAAAAGTGAAAAATTCCAATAAATTATCTCCACAAAAACGGACTAAGACCAAAAAACTAAAAATAAAGAAGGAAGAAGAAGCAAGGCCTTAATTCTCTGATTTACCCAAAACATATAAAGCAAAACAGACCACTTTAGAAGAAACTATTCGTAAAATTATTCAAAGTGAACTCAAAGAAATTTTACCATCATATATAATACAAGATCTTCCATTTGATATCAAAAACCAACTTCTATTCAAGATAAAGCTATAATTGATTCAAAAAACTCTGCCTTACAGAAAGGTAATAATATTATAAAATATCGTGATATAGTCTCATAAATACCTGATTCAGATGAAGAAGAAGAAACTTTAGATGGCCCTATGAGGATAGATTTTGTTCAAAAGAAAGAACCAGCTACAGATGTTGTTACTACTAAATGTAAAATTAAAAGATTAATGATTCCAACCACTACAGTAGACCCTGGTGCAAATCTTCCAATTATGACAGAAGATATAGCAAAACGTTTAAAACTTGTAATTGATACAAAAGAAAAACATGATCTCAGTGGGATCGCTACAACACCTACTGAATCTATTGGAATTGTTCGTAATGTACCAGTGACCTTTACCCGAGGTTGTACTATACATTCCGACTTTGCAGTTGTTAGTTATCACAAACCAATGTTGATTTTACCTAATACACTACGTGATAAATATGATTATGATTTACACTTCCTGGACAAAAGTATAAGTAAAAATTAATCCCCATATCAAATACTATAATATACTGAAGTTTCACCGCATATAAATAAAAACATTGTTGTTTTACAAACCTTAAAAGATAAAAATGAAAATTTCGGAATTTTCTGAAAAATGTTTGACTCGAAAATTGACCACAATAGCAAGTTCTAACAACCTTTGTGGTATAAGTAAAAAATGTGTCTCATGTTTAAATCTAGTTACTCCTAAAATTTTAGAGCATTTGGTGAATTAATTAATGAGGAAAAAAATAATTCGTAAAAATTTTTACAAATGATTCAACCTCAAACTGCTCACTAATTTGAAACATAAAAGACATTAAAAAAATCGATGAAAATATTCTAAATTGATTATAATTTATTAAAAAAAAATTAATATCTTGTCGGGTTTCCTCTACTTTCTAAAACAGCATCAACCCTTCATGGCATACTACCTATTAATTTATTAATTTTTTTAATATTAATGATCTTCAAAATTGGAAAAAATCAATCCATTTAGTATTTTTGTCCATAAATTGAGAAATAATATGGTAAACTTCATGAAATTCTGCAAATAACTAATTTCAAACATAAGACAAATTTTTTACTTATACCACAAAGGTTGTTAGAACTTGCTATTGTGGTCAATCTTCGAGTCAAACATTTTTCAGAAAATTCTGAAATTTTTATTTTTATCTTTTAAGGTTTGTAAAACAACAATGTTTTTATTTATATGCAGTGAAACTTCAGTATATTATAATATTTGATATGAAGATTAATTTTTACTTAATAAGCAGGTGTGATTGGGATAGTAAAATTTTTAGTTCTTGTCATGTCACTTTATTCAATTATTTGTAATGATCTGCAGGTGTCCCTATATTTTTGATCAGGAAGTGTATATTGATTGGTGAAAATCCGCACATATGATTTTTTATATGTTTATTATAATTTGTAACCCCAACCCCTTATGAAGAATACACAGTGAATTTTGATTTAGTGGATGTCTAATAAAAATCTTGATTTAACAGATTGAGGCTCAGAACTGGGCTGCATTTTTATATAATAAATTTTCTTGATATAATGGATGTACTAATTAAATCTCAATTTAACAGATTTTTGAAAAATTTTCACCAAGTGGCCAAAATTATCTGCTAAATTGAGTTTCATTGTGTATATCAAATTTCAAATAATAAAGGATATAACCTTAGCATCTGGTCAGATATGGTGTCATATACATGATCAAAATGTCTTACCTGTGTGTGGGGGCTAAGTACTTCTATTAAAATGATATTAGCTAATATATGTCAGTACCCTTACACACCTGCATTATATATTTAATGAACACTCCCCAAGCTTGAGTTAAGAATTCACATGCTCACATATAAAGATGGGAACAACAATTACCCACAATTCAATTTTCATATGCTGCAACTCAACTACAATCCAATTTTTATATGCTGCAATTAATTGAGAAGCCATCTTTACTTGCATAACCTATCACTCTGGTTTGGATTTATTTAAAAATTACTAAATTAAGAAGGATCTATGGAAGCAATTCCTTTTTTCAGTGGTCCACATGATATTTAATTTTTCCTAGTTCTCATTATAGAACTTCTGAATGTAGCAGATAGTAAAATTCACATCTACCTTTACAATTTTAAGATGTTGTGTTGAATTTATTTACAACTTAATATTATTATTATACCATAATAGTAATAATACAAATTGCTGGCAAAGAATATCAAAGTATATTTAATATGAATAATTTAAAAATGGGCATCCTTGCATTATGTCAAAATTTTAGCCAAATTTAGTTTAGAAATAATAATAATTTTTTTTGATGCCCAATTATTTAATAAAAATCATGATAAAAATGAAAATATTATAAATTAACCAAATTTAGTTTAGGTTTTGGAATAGGAATATAAAAAAAATAATGATAATCACTCAAAAAATACAAATTGATATAAAGTGGTGAGATGGTTTTTTCTTATGCTAATTCCCTTTCAATAAAAAGAAGCATATAATTGTCTATATGATCAGGATTATCATCATTGATTCCATTAATTTTAATTGGTGAAGATAATTCTGTTGCTACATAATCTTCTGAAAAATCTGGAATATCAATTTCAAATTCATTTCTTGAAATTTTTGCAGCATTAACATCAGTATCATCTTCCACCTTATCCAAATAATGCTCTAATTCAACTCCATCCTTTGGCTCATCTTTTATTTCATTACTACAATTTGGTGCTATATCACTCACAAGTGCACGCCAATCTACTTTTTGGAAGAAATCAGTTGTAAATTCACCATCCATAATCACCAATTTATCTAACATACGTTTTTGATTTGCTTTTAATAATATATTTTCTTCAATTGTATGTTCACTCACAAAACGATATATATTTACTTCACGTGTTTGACCAATTCGATGACACCTACATAATAAAGTTTTTTTCCAATTAAAAAATTAAGATTGGCATAATAAATCTTTTCTGATCTAAATGACTCCACATATTTTTTTACTCACCTGTCTTGACATTGTCTGTCAGCACAAGGGTTCCAATCACTATCATAGAAAATTACAGTGTCAGCACCAGTTAAATTAATACCTAAACCACCAGATCTTGATGATAATATAA